AAGAGGATGGTGCTCATCAGATGCTATGCGACTGTCAAGATGCACAGCTCCGTATTTGTTCGGCCATAAATAATTCATAGACATGTGTACATACCAAGTATGATCATTTACAGTTGACTTCATATGAACACACACACACACTCACGCGCGCACACACACTCGCATATATATATATATATATAGCAAGGTGCATGGAACACACCTGCTTCATAACCGCACTTAATACACTGGGCTTCTCATGATTCAAGAGCATAGCGTTCATCAGATACTGACCGGCGGTCATGGTGTAAGTCTCGCGCGCAATATCGGCCAGTTTCTCCTGCACACCCTCTAGTTCAGCAATAGGTACCTATGAGGAAGTAAGCAATGGGTCAGTAAACGACCCATGGTTGTCATAAATATATGAAGAGGTAATACATATATATATGTATATACAGAAACATATTCATAGATATGGCCATCAGGCAATCTACATACACGACAAATAACAATCACACGTGCTGAGAGGCGTACCATCAGCAATTGACATAGACGTGTGTACACAACTATGGTAAACAACAAAGCATGAATACATAGATACATACAGTATATATATATATATATATATATATATATACAAGCACATATAAATATACGAACACCTAAACAACTGCACACACTCTACCTTGAACTGCTTGCGGACTCGTGCGTAAGCACCCACACCCACACACGCTATTTGACCAGCGGATACGGCTGACGCAGGTAGAGAGATGCCTCTGCCTTCAGAGAGACACTCCATCAGCATGTTCCACCCAAACCCGGCTTGTTTCTGACCACCAATTAAGTAGTCGATGGGGATGAACACATCCTTGCCTGGACCATGGCAGAGGAGAAACGATGGAATGCAACACACCAGATGAGTTGGAGAAGGAGATAAGTGTAGCATGTGCGTAAGAAGTAGAGAGATTGGTTGTATTCTGAAGTGCAGAAAGAAACAACTGAGGAACCACGAACGACTCTCCGGCTCCCACATAGCCCTGCTATATATATATATATATATACATATAAATATGAATATACATACAAATATAAATATATGAATATATATATATATACACACACATATATACTTATATATATATCCGCCATCGATACTGCTTTCCTTGAACGTAGGTGTCACTTTGTCCAGGGCCTGCTAAATTTCTCACCGGTATATCTATATTTTTTCTCTTAGTATACACATACACATACACACACACACATATATATATCGCACATGCACGCTTACCTTTAACAGTTCCGTTCATGAAGGCAATCGATAGCACATCGTGGCGTGGTCCAGTCTCCAATCCTGGGTGTCCTTTTGGGATCAAAGCAAGGGTGATACCTTCCTTTCCATTGCCCTAGTATGAAAAAAAAGAAGAGAAAGACATCTAGCATGTCAATACATTATATATAAATATATATATGTATATCGTAAAAAGCTCAATCAACGTTCTCATCTCCTGCGTGGGATAGAGAAACAAACAACATACAACACACCATTGTTTTAACGATTGAGCTACCAGATGGAAAGGATTGATATACCACTATTTTCTCGCAAGGACATTTAACAGGCCGTTATATACTTCTGTAATAAATACCAACCAGCCATCTAATAGAGTATATGAGGAGTTTACAACTATACGTATATACACATTCGCGCACATCCTCGCAAGTACCTTGAGCAGGCCATTTGGATCGCTGAGCTTGAACGCCAACCCAACCACAGACGCAATGGGGGCCAGAGTGATGTAGCGTTTGTTGAACGAGGCGACAATTCCGAGTTTGCCGTCTCTCATAACAACCTCACCATGATCTGTAGGTAATCACATGTAATAATAGTTAGAACAATGCTGTTATTTAGAAGTACTCTGTTGATTAGAACAATGATATTAATTAAAATAATACTGTTAACTAGAAGTATTCTATTGACTAGAACAATGATATTAATTGAAATAATGCTGCTAACTAGAAGTATTCTATTGATTAGATCAATTATATTCATTTATATATATATGCTGCTAACTAGAAGTATATTAATTAATATAGTGCTGTTAACTAGAAGTATTCTATTGATTAGATCAATTATATTTATTTATATATATATGCTGCTAACTAGAAGTATATTAATTAATATAGTGCTGTTAACTAGAAGTATTCTATTGATTAGATCAATTATATTCATTTATATATATATGCTGCTAAAGTATATTAATTAATATAGTGCTGTTAACTAGAAGTATTCGATTGATTAGATCAATTATATTCATTTTTATAATGCTGTTAACTAGAGCATGTGGGTAACGGTAAACTCGCTCTCTCGCATGACAGTCACTGCGTGAACTGTAGGTAAGCGAATAGAACACTAATTAGGACAATACTATGATTTAAAAATAATGAAATTAACTAGAACTGCTAGTAGCATACGAGCATGCGGGTAAACCCTCTAGAATAACGACCACGCCGTCAACTCTAGGTAAGCATATGACAAACCTAACAATACAGAACTATGTTCATTGGCCAGTGGAGAGACATGTATGTATAGTCAATGCTTCAAGTACACCTAGAAAAAAACGTGAATAAATACTTGTAAAGGGTGACTGGAACGTTATGCACAATATATACTAACAAATACAAACTCAATTATTTACATACATCGTTCGCTGTATTTGGGCGAGTGACAGGATAGATCAATCAGAAGACATTGGATACATACATATATGCACACACACATAGATTGTACAGATGCATACACAAACACCTACAGATATAGTCTCAAGAACGCACCCATATATAGTAGCAAATACAAACTCATGTGTTTTTCATTGTCTGTGCCTAAATACAGCCATGTTAACGTACCTGGCATACTAGCGGCGTCCGATCCAGAGCTAGGGCCTGTGCACGGGAAATTGATAGGCAAAAGAATAAGCATTAAGGGGGGTCTGCAATGAGGTCAAGTAGTGAACTGTTTCAAACTCATTTTGACCCCGTTCCGGCCCTCGTAGTGGACGGTTGAGGTTTATTTTGATGCGTTTTAGAGTTTGAAAGATATTACCATTCACGACTATCGAAGATTTCCGATCTCCACAGGAACTGGGAACTGGATTGGGTCAAAGTCCGGCGCCAAAACTTGAAGGAAGAAGTCTGGTCTAAAAATAGAAAACCTACCTGTGAGACCGAAGCAGGGGACTTCGCGACCATCCGCTAACCGGGGTAGCCAGTACTTCTTTTGTTCTTCGGTACCATAGCTACAATGGACAATTAAGGAGGAGCGTGTGAGACTTGGTAGTTGAGCAGCAGGTTTATTGAGGTCTGGTAGTCAACAGGTAAGTCCACAGACGCAGATAGGTCTTACACCAGCAGCATATAAAGCATACCATAGAACAATTCCATTGAAATAAAAATAACTGCAAATAAACTATTACTTATATATATATATATACATATACATATTTATACTTCACCTCATAAGTAGCTCTCCTGGACCTAAACTGTTAGGAACCGCCACACAGACGCCAGCCGCAGGACTTCGGGTGTTGACCTTGGCGTCCACCATGCTGTGTGCGTGTGCGCTAAAGCCCAGGCCTCCTTGGTCTTCAGGGATCATCATACCAAAAAACTTTTTCTCTTTCAAGAACTTCCACGCCTCTGGGGGCAGGTCCTGTAGGTATATACGTATACAAAGTGTCCTTAGGTTTGTTTATAACGTACACGACATACAGCTTGAAAGGATAACACGCGTGCTTTTGTCTGCACATCATATACGCGTGGGCACGACACAACGTTTGGGGGGATCATGCCCATGAACTTGATTCCTTGGACTTCCGCGCCTCTGGGGACAGGTCCTGTACGTGTGTACGTATATAATGGATACGTATACACGTATATATGGTAGACATATATACATGTACAAGGTATACGTATGTTTTAAAACGTATAAATTATACTGCTATGGGAGATCACAGTAGGATGCCATTACCTTGGAATTTACTTTAGTATAGTCTGCATATACATGAGCGAATACACGACACCACGTTTGGGATGATCATGCGTCTGAACGCATCTCTCATGAACCAATACGAGTATGAGGGCAGAGCCTGCCATGTATGTATATGTGTATGTATATACATATACCATTTTGTACGAGACTATGCCGGTGTACATGCATGTATGTGCATATGTGTGTGTATACATATACGAGCAACGTATTTGTTAATACCTATATGCATCATGCAAGCGGCCCCCCCTCATTCCCACACTGCAAGCATAACGTTCATATTACGCAACATACAGTACGAATCCTAAGAAAATGTGTAGAAGAACAGTCGCGAAGTACGTCAACAATATGTAAGTATATACTTTAATCTTATTGTAATATATATATATATATATATATAACAATATATAAGTATATACGTTAATCTTGTTTCACGATCATATATATATATATATGTAAGTATATACGTTAATCTTATTTCACGATCATATATATATATATATATATATATATGCATATGTCTATATATACTGATGCACCCACCTAACCCCTACAAACAAAACTACAAAAACTTCATCACACACAACATACAGCCTGGACCCATGGGCCATGTATAAGTATACAAGTACATACTTCCACTACGCTGCACGGTTACATACACCAAAGATATACAAGTAAACGCTTATATCATATCAATAAGAAATAGAACATACACTCCGACGTACGTACCTGATCTATCCCAATCTGGTAATCGTCCAGCATCTCGCACAGTTGTTCCACCTCATTGCCTAGGAAGGCCTGTTCTTTGGCGGTAAGCACTGCTCGGTACTATGATGCAACAGATAGATTGCAAAGGTTTCAACTTAGTTTTAATTCAGAGATGGCTGAAACCGTGGTTTTATAAAGTATTTTACATAGTTTTGTTTCCTGGGGGGTTTGAGGCTCAAAATACTTAGCTTGACACTTTTGTGCCATACAACACACACACACACACACACACATATATATATATATGCATATGTGTGTAGTACGTTGTAAGAGTACATGTAGGTGATTAGTGATACATGTACACCGGTGGAGCAACGCTAGAACTTCGCTTATGATGAGATATCCGTTCAACACCTGTATGGACAGGGCATGATCTCATGGGACGTACTAATATATATATATATATATATATATATATATATTAAAAGGTGTGTGCATTCGCAATTTCTAGTTACCTAGTTACAGGGCTTTTAGGTACACATATCACATAGCTTGAAATGTGGACTATCATATGCCAATTGACGATTCATTGCTGATATGTGTGTGAAATACATAATATCAAACTTACGTCGTTACAAAAATATAACTCTTGTTTTGAGATGTCATGCAGCCATCTAAGCTTGTTATCACATATAGATATCATCCGCGTGCTTGTAAAATGACATCATATTCACAACGAAGATGGATACTTGTTTTTATGTATATATATTAATTTTAAAATACAAAATATATATAACCAGACGTCCAGTCTGTACGACACAACGATACATATCTGCCTACCTACGTTCCCATATTAATTAATACGGATATGTTATACACAAACATACAGCGTTCACATATATACAACAGCCTTCCAGCCAGCCACAAACCTTGCTAAGATCCTTTAAACAGGGGTTCTCAGAGAAGTGCTCTCAATCAAGGACATCGGTACCAGAATCCAGGGCACATCTTGAGCACACGAAAGACACATGTTCACATACACGCACGTCAATGATACATATCAGCGCTCGTCAATGCACACACAATTTTAACATACATACAGTGGCTTCAAAAACATTATGCTACACGAAGATGCATATATATTTGTTACATATGATCCAACGCAAATCTCTTCAACTCAATCACCACTGGTCTACTTACACAAGTCCAATGTTCACACGCTGCATCACGCACATCACCATTCAACCGCGTAACTCACCTTTCCAAGACTCGACAAACTAGTCTTTCCGGAGAAAAGCTCTCGATCAAAGCCAACAGTACCACACTCAAGTGCCGCCTGCTCAGTATCGGATACCCTCGGCACCACTTTCTTAGCCAGATTGTACGCTAGTCCGAAAACTGTGCGTTTCTGGACTAGTTTCAAGCCTCCTACGGCTCGGATGGCCGAAACGGTGCCGCGCTGCATTGCTTATTTATATTTAGGAGGTAGATGAAGAACTAATAACAGGTGCACTCGGATACACCAGTGTAGAAGTACTGAGCGTTCTCTTTGTGCTTGTATATATATATGGTTGTTGTTTTGGTGTGCTTTTTCATAGCCTCCCCTAAAATTGAACCTATTTGCAGATGGATTTGCAGAAAGTGGCTCTTTTGCTGATCATGTGATAACGTTTTGCCATAGAAATCAAAATGATGCCTTCTTTGTAGACACTCGGAGGACTATGCATGTACTCAAGACGTTTAATTGCGTTAAACGTATATACTAAACGTTATGAATTGGTTGTACTTCTGCGTTTGACAAGTCGTTAGACGTTTACCGCATAGATACTAAAAATAAGTGTATTTAGTAATTGTTTGTAAATCTCCGTTGAGATGCCGTTAAATGTTTAACGTATATATACCAGAGCGCGTTGTAAACAGTAGTAGTATTCGCATTGTAAAGAGACGTTTTAACGGGTAACGTTCTAAACTTTTTACCAGTGCACCTCTACAGTTTACACTCTACACTACACTCTACAGTCTACACTCTACACTACACTCTACAGTCTACACTCTATACTACACTCTACAGTCTACAGTCTACACTACACTCTACACTACACTCTACAGTCTACACTCTACACTACACTCTACAGTCTACACTCTACACTACACTCTACACTACACTCTACACTACACTCTACAGTCTACACTACACTACACTCTACACTATACACTACACTCTACAGTCTACAGTCTACACTACACTCTACAGTCTACACTCTACACTACACTCTACACTACACTCTACAGTCTACAGTCTACACTACACTCTACAGTCTACAGTCTACACTACACTCTACACTACACTCTACAGTCTACACTCTACACTACACTCTACAGTCTACAGTCTACACTACACTCTACACTACACTCTACAGTCTACACTCTACACTACACTCTACAGTCTACACTCTGCGCTACACTCTACAGTTCTACGGTCGATAATGCGACAGTCCGAGTGTCCGACTATCCGACTGATTTAAAATCCGATAATCCGACAGTCCGACATCCTTCCTTGACTTCATTTGTGTCCTCAGTCCTGACCCTTCTCTCTCGTGTATTTGTTTGTTAGTAGACTATGTTCTCTCTCTCCACTAAATACTACTACTAGCAGCCAATCGGAGGCCGTCTTCAGATTTCTCCCAATCCCAATCCTCACAACCACATCCAACACTCAATACGTTTTACGATAAAGTGTATTGCAGCAATTGCACACACATACATACATACCTCGAATATACGGACACGTTCAACGTTTATATCGTGATGCCCCTATGGTGGTCGCTAAGGGGAATCTTCGGAACCTCGAGGTTCAAATTTTTCGATGATGTTTTCCCTTTATGGTGTCCGTTTAACTTGAATAATAGGTTGATACTTTGTCCAGTCGTTTGATCCGTACAAACGTTTTATAGGTTATGTACCGAATGAACAGGTAAGTATTTACGTTCAACTTTTAAAATTAGACCCCTTAAAATTGATGAGTCCGAACTTTGAGGGTAAAGGGCAATGAGGGAGGATCCTTCAGACGAACCGTCATCCTCATCATGGTAAAAGTATGGGCTATGTATTGACACCTGCCTTTTGCGTAGGTTTTAAGCTGTAGACATACATATGGTCTCTGGCGCACTGTGGTGTACGTAAATACATTGTATAGTAAGATCTGAGCAGTTGCGTGTTCCTTACGGTACGTAGAACTTACACCACTGTATACGTAGAAGCATATTGCGGACACACGCAAATACACTTACATCTCAAGCATACTTGATCCATACTTGCATACTAGCACTCGAGCGTTTTGCACAACATTACACCAGCCCACCGCACCACAAACACACAAATATCCTGTATAGATTGTGAGACGTTACTACTGGACTACAATCGAGCACCATGGCGCCTCCCAAGTCTAAGAACAACAAAACCAGAAAGACGTCCACCTCAACAGCCCCAGCCCAACCTGGTGCAAAAGCCACAGATGCTACACCGCTAGAAGGACCAACACGCTCCCTATCCTTGCACGACAGAGGGGGTGTTGGCAGTAATATATGCACTGTATGCTTCGATGAGATGGAATACTATGCTGTAGGCGCATGTAATCACAGGGTAGTGTGCCACAGGTGTTCGTTGAGAAGTAGGGCTCTTTTGGATAATCAAAAGTGTGTGCTATGCCGCACGGTGTGTGAGGAGGTGGTGTATACCACTGATGCGACGACGGCTTTCGACCAGGTATGGTTGGTGAATGAGATTTAGTATATATATATATATATAATATATTTATATGTTTATATTATATATTTATATATTTATGAATTTGTAGATTTATACTC